TATATATATATATATATATATATATATATATATATATATACTTGTCTCATATGAAGAAAATGGAGTAGTTAGAAAAGGTTGTTCAACGTCTATTCCTAATATTTTGTCTTTGTTGGTTCACTTACCCTTGCTAATGATATGATTTTTTATGTATGAAATTATATCTATCCATAATTAATAAATTCATTTTAAAAAGAACTTAGAAATCTTTTGTTATATTTCTATAGATTTGGTCCTTGTTTTTTCATATTTATTATGACTAGGATCCGTGTATTTTTTTTTAATTGTAGATTTGGTTCTCGTGATATTTAATCTGTCATGATCATGCTCATTTTAACTAACACTGTTAACTTTAGTTAAGTCGAGAGGATTTTGATTTTCTACACTTTCTTTTATCTTTTTTCTGTTAAAAAAAAATATAAGTAATATATATGCACCCTTATATACATACATGCATGCATGAGAAGTACAAATGGATATTGGGAGTTAGGAATCGTTGATCCTAACCACCTCCCTCCCTGTCGCCTCCAAGATGTGTTGGTCTTCCTCACTTTTGACAACTACCATGTGATCTCTCTTCCCGTTAGAACGTGAAATTGATAGCTCTCTCAGATACTTTCATGAGACCCATTTAGTTGTCTGTTCCATACAATAATCTCATAAGAGGATAAAGGACCATACGTTAAAAATCCCATCGGAGAAGACGTGTTTGTGATATTTTCACGTTTGGAGGGAGGCCGGTGAAGGGGAGGGAGAAGAGATGTTTCAGCGACTTTATGTGTGTGTATAGTTTATATAATGTAATTATTTTTGTATTTTTATTAAAAAAGAAAAAAAAAGCGTTTGGTGTAACTAAGTTAAGGGAGTCTTCTTTCATGATGTTAATCAGAGGCACCATGTCATTGACAAATTTAATACGGCAGGACCAAATCCGAAATGAACATGGTATTGGAACTCTACTACAAAATAAAGCAAATCATGTTTTTCGTCCTTGTAGGTTGTTAAAATCTATAATTTCCGTCTTTGTCATTTCGAAATTGTGGTTCTCAAATGGTTTGCAATTCAATTTTATTTTTATGGACCCTGAGCCTAATTCCTACCTTTAAGTATGAGGTATGAGAATAGAAATGAATTATAAATCATAAAGACGAAAATAGCAATAAATTGTAATTCATAAGAACAAAAATAACAATAAATTATAATTTATAAGAATAAAAACAACAACAAAATGTAAACCTTGAAGAGGAAAAGTGCAACTTCAAAAGTAAAAAAGAAAAAAATAGAAATTTATAACGAACCACAGAACGAAAACGTAACTTGGGGGCCGTTTACCAAACGTTTGACTGGGTAAGCGCTTAATGGTAAAATTCAACACTATCACTTATTTATTGGGTAAGATTTTGGTCTACCAAAATGGTGTCGTATGCAACAATTTTCGCAGTAAGCGCTAACCGTGGTATGAGTCGTCATTCTCACTTACTAGGTAAGACTCTTGTCCTTGCTTTCGATTTCTTGTTGTTTGTCATATTCATCCAGTAAAATAATGTGATTTGGTAAGTGGTATCCGAATAAGCAATTGTTAAACGTCCCTTGCTTTGAGAAATATTAAAACACATGACCAAATTGGTGATTCATTCTTTTTTATTTACAACCGACTATAATTTAATGGGTTTACCATCCAAGGGTTAAGTTCCGATGAGAAACGAAGTTACGGTGGGAAACATAAGAAAAGATCTCCACTTTTGAATCAATCATAATTGAATGTCAACATTAATGAGATGCACCGAGATGCCTTTAAATCAAATCTCTTTTAAAACGCAATTCATTAATAGACATAAAATTAAAAGTGATCAAGGTTTATCTCTTCTTACATTTCTTACTATAAGTTTCTTTCTCATATGATTTTCTTTCGCCTACCATCCAAATAGTTATTTATGGCTACAAAATTGGGAAAAGAGCCCCCTTTTAAGAGTTTTCTAAACTTACCCTGAATTCTGTCAAAGTATTTCGTCAATTGACGAATTCCTCTAACGTGACATTTGGGACTCATCTCCGGTTTCACTAACCAACCATGTTGCCATAAATGGCTATTTTGTGACTAAACCCTAATTTAAGTGGCAGAGCTATAACCTCAAGTTTCGAATTGAGTAGGGTTTTTTTTTTTTACCAAATCCGTTTTTACAGATCGAAGTTCGATCTGATAATAAAACCAATCATGATGTTTGTAGAAATTGAAGCATATCTATTTTTCCAAACATCATGGTCCCTTTTTTTATGAAATCGAATGACACAATCCATTTTTAGAAACAACTATTCCCAAATCAGTGATATCGTATGAAACTGTTTTTCTCAATAATGTTTTTGTAAAGACCGTAGTATGTCAAAGTAATTGGGATTTAAATGAATTGAAATAACATTGAATGTTATTAAATCACGCATTAGGTTGACGTGAAACAAAATCGACTTTATTTGAACTTTATGTTTCGTTTGCAGAATATAGATTTGGAATCGAAACGTAAACAATGACAAAAGAATTTACCCTTTATTGAATGAACGACAACCAATATAATACTTGAAAACCATCCGTGGTCGACTCCTGGTCGTGATGTTACTTCTTGGGAGCAAGTCTCGACTTAATTTTCTCCACCATTTTCGTTCCGATTTGGAATGTTTTAGTCAAGACAGCATCTTCCACCGAGGGAGATGATGCAAACAAAGCGTTTGGCACCCTCTGGGTTCCCGGCAACTGGCTGTTGAAGGCGGCGATGGCAGCAGCAGGAACTTTGCCGTTGTTCATCTGGTAGTGAAGTAAGCCTCTGGGGAAAGTGAAGACTTCACCCTTCTTGATGGTTTTCGCGTAGAGTTTGTTATCCGTGGTTATGAAGCCGACATCCAATTCACCCTCTAGCATAAACACCATCTCGGTGGCTCTTGGGTGGGTGTGTGGTGGGTTCAGACCGCCAGGTGCGTAATCAACACGAGCCATGGACACACCCAAGGTGTTTAGCCCGGGGATTTGTTGGACCGAGGCTGGTGTAATAGTTGAACCAAATGTGTTGTTGGTAACCGCAGGATTGGCTAACCCCGCGAAGAAGAAATCTTCTGTTGATATGTTGCTTTTGCAGGTGAATCCATTCACTTTTACACCTGTTCATGCATTTTGGTTGAATATCAAAAAAGATGAGTCGGTTTTTGGTTATACAACACTTTAACTGCTATAAAAACTATGATCCAAGTATTTTATAAACCTATCTTAATATCGCATTTTGATAGCCAAAAATCTTGTCAATAAGATAAAACAAAGTCATGACATGTAGCTCAGTTGTTGATTATCTTAAAATTTAAGAACGGTTTCGTGAAAATGGACCAAAACAAAAATTTCTAGGTCAAGTTAATTACGCCATTATAACATTTGACATATAGCTCAGTTGACAACAGGGTGGGATGATCACTTTGCTCAAATATGTTATAAGTTTTGGGTTTGATCCTGGCACCCGTTCATTAGCCTTAGTCACTGAATGAGCTAAAAAATACATCTTATATTAGTATTATTGAAGATGGTTTCGGTATATATTAGTTAGGGTGCATCTTACATTAGTATTATTGAAGATGGGTTCTTTTTTTTTTTTTTTTCCAATTATGCCACTTTATTTGGGGTGGTCTTATGCTACGTGAAATTAATTCCTTATGCGGTTTTCAAATAAGTGGAAGGACTTTTTTTTGGGTGAAATTATATATAATTCATTTATAAGTAAATATACATTAATTTAGCTATATATAAATAGAGAGAAATGTTCAAACGAGAATGCTAACTATTTAAGAAAATAATAAAAAAATCATTAATGTACAATATTAAGGGGTGTTTGGGATTGCTTATAAAAAACAACTTATTGACTTATTTCGGTGTGACACCGGTAATAAGCACTTTTGAAGAAGTTAAACTCTTTTGACTTATGATAAGTTGATAAGTACTTCTGTAGAAAAGCATATGTTGTTTCAAATAAACAATTTCAAACACTCCTAAATGTGATTTTACATCAAAGTCGAAAAAGTATAAATGTACAACTTTTGAACCGGTATGATTTTGTACGTGAATCTATATATATGAATTTTTACACTAACAACTTTTTTTCTTAATTTTTTTTAAATAGTTAGTATTATCGTTTTAATAAAAGTGTTGATGATGGATTAAAACTTATTATTGTTTATATTTGGACTACAAAATTTCTATAAATTTAAAAAATAGCAAAAAATTTCTAAAAATTTGAAAAATACGAAAACCACGACCACATGACTTGGCCAATGGAAATCAGAATAATATCTGCGAGCCTAGCAATATATCAGCCGATAAGCCAAGAACGTGGTGGCTTATTCAAACGCCACCGAATATATCTACATTGACTTTGACTTTTCTTAATGGCACCCCTTTTCATCAACTAGCTTTACTTTGACCAACAACTTGATGAATTATAGCCAAGAAATGAGCAGAATTAATTGAATCTAAACGGGTTTCTGTTCCAAACAATTTCAGTTGATATGATTATGGAACTCAAATCTATCATTTGTAGTTGTAACCAAATCTGGATGAAGATGAGAAGGCAGTACCTGACGCAAGATCTGCAACACAAACATCTTGAAGCAAATCAAAGTCTGCTGAGACGAAGGAAGCCAAGAAGACGGCCATCGTCATGCCAACCATCACCAACCCATGATCACGAGTAGCCATCGCAGATCTTGATATCTATTAATTCGTTGATGATTAGAATAAAAAATTGGACCTCTTTTTCACTTTGTAATGGAAAGGTGAAAGAATTATTAGAGGAAAAGAGGGGTTAGAGATGGAGGTGGAAAAGGAGGTATTTAAAGTGGGTGGTAATGGGAATGGGTTTGAGAGAAGACATTTTGACTCTAATTTCAATTTGTTATCTTATTCTTAATTCATTCGTTTCAGGATGAGTGGGAGTTTCAAGATCTGAATAGGTTTAAAATAATCATTAAAATTGAGATCTTTAAAATATCTTATTAAAATACAAAAATATGGAAGGAAAAGATATTCAACAGCAAGAAAAAAAAACCCAAAATTAAAATGTAAAGGAGAGCAAGATAATATTAATTATTTTCTTTAGAAGAAACATATATAAACAAAAAAATTGCTATAATTGAATATTTTAGTTATATATTTAATATCGAATAATCCAAAATAAAGAAACAATTATAGTTGAATATATAAAAAAAAAAAAGAGGGGGGTGAGTTATTATACAACTTTTTATATTTGTATAATTAAGACAACTCAATTTCAATCGTCTATTTAATTTGATTAATATGTGATTTTATAAAAAAATTGATTATTTTATAATATAAAATATTGATCATAATTAATGAACTTTATCATCTTCTATAAATATTCAAATTATAATAAATAAACTCTCGTTATATTCATAAATATCTTAATTGATTGAGTTGCATTGGTTATATAAATAGATATATTTGCATTTAAAATATAACATATATATATATATATATTTTAAATATAACATATATATATATATATATATATATATATATATATATATATATATAGGGTGTGGGTTAGATTTAAATAAAAACCAATTTTTCATTCTAAAATAAAGGACAAATCCTGACCATTGATTAAAATTAAGAAAACTAATCAATTGTTAAAATATAAAATGGTTATTTAAGAAGTGAGTAACAACAAAAATGGAATTAATTTTAAACTTCAAACACACGCCTATCATATTTGACTTTGTATTTTCTTTTTTAATTAAAAGAACTTTTACTTCATTAATTTATAAATTAAATTATCTTAAAAATAATTAATATTTTAATCAAACAAATTACATAAAAAAATAAGCATTTTATTCTCTTCAATTTGACATCCATTTCATTATAGTTTTTTTTTTGTTGTTTTAACCATTTTACGTAAAATGATATATATGTGTAATATTAACTATTAATATTTATGTATGTTCACTTGTATATAACAATTCTTTAACATTTATACATCAGTATGATGTTTATCATGAATATACAACTCACTATTACATTCATCTTAAATAGTTTTATATTTTCACGTGTATCCGACAAATCTCAGTATTCATATATCACTATAACATTCATAATTGATATACATTTTTACTATGACATTCATCATGAATATTCATGTATGCTTACGCATATAAAATAACTCTTCAATATTCATACATCAGGAGTATAAGTTTTAAGTTTTCACTATCATATTCATCAATATATATATATATATATATATATATATACTAGAAGCGTACTCGCGCAATGCAGCGAGATACATCATGATTTTAATATTTCATTTTCTTCTTTATCTCAGTCGATATTATAATATG